CACACACACACACACACACACACACACACACACACACACACACACACACACCCCTAAGCGCTCAAGCTATTCACTCCCACCCCGGGCCCCTGCCGGTCACCCGGGCGGCCCGGATCCCCACTCGGGAATTTTTTGAATTTCATTAATTTTATCCTCATTTGCTAGTATGTTTCCAAGGCCATTGGTGTTCGAGCTTCTCACAGTGAGGCCTGTGGGGGTCAATCAGTTTGTATAGACATGGCTGTGTGTATAAGGAGCTTGATTGTGGTGTTCAGGGATTGGAAGAAAGCCGCTCAGTTTAGGTCCTTTGTCCTCCTGAGTTGTATTGGGGTTGATTGAGACAAAGGGGGTGTCATCTAACGGTCAGTTCCCTCCTGTCCTATGCTCTTGCTGTCTGATCCCCCCGAATCCTCTCCCTTCTTCCCTGTCTCGGTTTCCAAGGGGGAGAACTGCTCGATATCCAAATCTAGCTCATCATCTGCCTGTGCATCATCATCATCCAGCGAATCAAAGTCCATTGCCGTGGGCTTGTCCTTCAGGGAATTCTCCGCAGCTAGCAGTTGCTGATGCAAGATGGAGGCCAGAGAGTACGCCATCACCTCCGCAGGGCAGTTCAGCCTCACTAGGATGCTGTATGGGAGGGCTGTGACTAAGTTCCATGCTCCCCAGAGCATTCCCATTTTCAGCTTTGCTTTCTCGTCCATCTTGACTAGACCTGGGGCAAAGGATCTGGCTTTGGAGTCCCTCTCCTTGTCAGTTGTGGTGCCGGTCGAGTCCGCTGTCCATTCTGGTTCGAAGACTCCCATGGGCAAGCCGAGGGGACCTTGATCTGCACAGCGATTTATGTGTAAGAAGGGGGAAGGAGACGACTGTGGCCACCTTCCATTCTTGAAATTTCTGTACATATGTGACTGGGACTACGGGGCAGATCGACATCAGACTCCGGCGATTTGCAGTCCCTGCGACATACAGATTTTTGTTGTCCACCACTTGCTGGACTGTCATGAAGTCTGCTGAATATTCAAAAACACGTTGGTCTGTGCTGCACTGTGGCAATTTCCTTTGTCGGCATCTTCCTTCCTTTCTTCCTTTCATGAGGTGGCGTTGATTCTTTCAGTAATAACTCAGCTCAATAACTCAGCTCAATCTGTACCAGCCGAGTGCTGAGGATCGTCACTTTTGGTCAGCAGCCCGAAACGGGGGTCAAAAGTCACGCCCCGAGTCCAGAAAATGCCTGAACAAAGGCCCTATGCTGTGAGGTACCCAAGGTAAGGCCAAATCATCCTTCAGAGGCCCAACGTGGTACAGTTGACTTTTTGGTAAGTCAACAGTCGATCTAAGCTCGGAAATTCAGGCACACTAGTTAAGTCAAACTGTTTCCAGTCTCGGCCACAGATCAGGTACACACCTCTGGCTGTTTGCAGGTATCTGGAGGAGATCAAGACCAAAGGGGAACACGCTGATAACTGCAACTGCACAACATCCAGGCCATTGGCTGACGAGCGATCTGGGCCGCCGTATGTGGAAGACCAGAGGCTGGTCAACTCTCGTCAACACTACAAGTTGACCCAGCCCCTGAGGTTCGACATTCAGTCTTGTATGTGCTGCTTGACGCTGGCTTGACGCTCATGCGACGACGCAAGACTGCCGAGACACTATGCTGGCACCATTCTGTGTCTTCGGCGCCAGCTGTGCATTTGACTATGCTGACGTGGCTCTCGCCACTCTGATTACGACATTGATGGAGTACGGGCGAGGAAGAGGAGGATCAGGGCTGTGAGGTTGGTCGATTGAGAGAGGGAAGCTTACCTGTGTTCGATCGTGTCGACATTGCGCATCTGCTGTACGTCTTCAGGGGAATTGCGCCATCCCCCCAGGCCGCTGCTGACGTGGCTGGAGGATGGTCGCCATGATGTAATCTGCTTGCTGTCAGAGTTCGCCAGGGGAGACTGTTGCTGACGTGGCGAGTGGGGAGATGCCCAAAGAGGAAGTGGGCTTGCGAGAGAGGTCCGTTCAACGATGATGATGGAACTACTCTCTTCCACCCTCTAAGTCTACTCTCCCCCTCCTCATCTTCTTTTCTGGTTATGTGACATTGATCTACTTTGTCGATGACTTTGGTTACCTGCACGATTCTTGGAGACATTGATTATGCACTGATACATTCTGTACTTCGACTCTGACGAGCTTTCCGTGTGACCGGGTTCATTGCAATCACCAACTTTTTAATTATATAAGCTGGAAAGCGGGTCCAGCGTCCCTTACATGAAACACCCACTCCACGCTTCCTCCCATTATGGCTCGAGGACCCTGAGACCACGATATTGACAAGTTCCCTGTCAGGAAGGATGTACCACTGCTCGGCCCCTGTAACGATGACCGTTCTTGTGTTTCCTTTGTTCTTCTAGGAGCCTGAAGTTCCTGTGCCATATGAGCCCCTCCTCCCTCGACAGGTATGCAATGAACCTCGCAAGATTCAACTCAAATACAAAATGCAAATTGAGAGCATTCAGATGAAGCTCACACAAGCTTGAGCTATGGCCATGAACAGTGCCAATTCGAAGTTCCACTCAAAGTACAATAAAAAAGTTCGGCACTGAGCGGTCTGCACACTGCAACACAACTCCGGTAAGTACCCGACTCTTCCCCCTCCCGATCTGTTTCTCTCTCTCTCTCTCTCTC